TCCATCTTCTTTCTTTCATTCACCCTTGATCGCAGTCCAACAAACTACATCTCTACCCTTCTGGTCTCTTGCCTACGGGTTGATTTTCCCGCCCCGAGCTGTTCCAGAAATCCACGTATCTCAGCAATATCCTGTTTCTTAGATCTGTAATACTGAATCTTATCGAGGCTCTGAAACTTTTCTATGACTTAGGAGTTGTGTTCTTTCCGTTTCTGTTGTTCAAACCGTTACAGAAAAAATGTACACAGAGCTGGTCTTTGACCGTAATAAAGTTTTATCTATCTATCTGCACAGAGAGAGAGAGAGAAAGAGAGAGAGACATGATTTCCCCGTCATCTTCCTTGTCTTTATTCCTCCTGACTGTACTGTGGAATAAGGGCTTTCTTTCCTACATGGCACACAGGGAAGATCTGGGCTGGATATGAACGTGCGCAGCAGGGGTTAACCCCAGCAATGCTCCATGCGCAGGCTCCACCTTCATTCCTTCAGGCTCCTAGTAGCACTCTACTTTATAAGCTGTTTTGCGAAGCGGCTCCGCCAGAGGAGTCTCGGAGGCATGGAGTTCTGGGTGGCCGTGCTTTGCACCCTCCTGGCGTTGATCCTTGGAGGGCTTTACCTGCTGGGAGCCTTTCGGAGACGACGCCCCCATGAGCCCCCCTTGGATAAAGGGATGATTCCCTGGCTGGGATACGGGTGGACGTTCCGGAAAGACACGGCCGACTTCTTGCTCAAGATGCAGAAGAAGCACGGGGACATCTTCACCACGTTGATCGCTGGGCACTACTTCACGTTCATAACCGACCCGCTGTCTTTCGGGCCCATCGTCAAGGCCCCCCGGAACAAGCTGGATTTTATTTCCTTTGCCTCCGAGCTGGTGAGGCAAGTGTTCCAGTTCCAGCCTTCGGAAATGACCCACAGCGTCATAGAAACGGCCAGCGTCAAGCATCTGAAAGGGAACGGGCTGGAGGTCATGACCCAGGCCATGATGGACGGTCTGCAGAGGGTGATGTTCCACAGTCGGGAGGAAAAGGGCTGGAAAGAAGACGGCTTGTTCCACTACTGCTACAACATGGTCTTCAGAGCAGGGTACTTTGCTTTGTACGGCTACGAACCCGGACGAAGCGAAAAGGAGAAAGAAAACGCCAGGGAGCGTGACCTCAGGCATACCGAAGAGGTCTTCTCCAAGTTTCGCAAATATGATAAGCTCTTCCCGCGGTTATCCTATTCCCTGCTGTCCTACGGAGAAAAGCAAGAGGTGGAGAACCTCTTGCAGTTCTTCTGGAGAATCCTGTCTGTGGCAGAGGTGTACAGGAAAGACAACATCAGCGGGTGGATCAACGACCAGCAGCGGCAACTGGCCGAAGCCGGGATGCCAGAACCCATGCGGGACCGGTTTATGTTTTTGCTCCTCTGGGCTGCTCAAGGGAATACCGGTCCGGCCTCTTTCTGGCTCCTGGCGCACCTCATGGCCAATCCCGAAGCCATGGCAGAGGTGAGGAAAGAAGTGGAGGACGTGGTGAGGGAGTCTGGCCAGGAGGTGAAGCCGGGAGGAGAGGGGATCAACGTCACGAGAGAAATGCTCACCAAGACCCCCGTCTTGGATAGCGCGGTGAAGGAGGTCCTGAGGATGGCGAGCGCCCCCATGCTGATCCGGATGGTGTTGGAGGACATGGACATCAAGATGAACAACGGGAAGGTCTACCGGCTGCGCAAGGGGGACAAAGTGGGGCTTTTCCCCTTTTCGTCAGCCCACATGGACCCCGAAATCCACCCTGAGCCCCACGTGTTCAAATACGATCGTTTCCTCGGCCTCAATGGCACGAAAAAAGAATTCTTTAAGAACGGGGAGAAGGTGAAATACTCCACTATGCCTTGGGGGGCGGGGACGTCCATATGCCCCGGACGGTTCTTTGCGGTCAATGAGATTAAACTGTTTGCCTTCCTGGTGCTCACCCATTTTGACCTGGAGCTGGTGAACCCGGAAGAGAAAGTGCCTCCGATCATCAAAAGCCGGTACGGGTTTGGGGTGATGCAGCCCTCCCATGACATCCAGTTTAGGTATCGGCCCCGTTATTGAGGGGGGCGGGGGAAGGAACCTGCCAGTCCTGGAGTTTTTGGTGGGGGAACGGGCTTCTAAAACTACCATGCGCATGGCTCTATGCATAAGGAGGTCAGCTAAGGAGCATTATAACTGGCACCCTAAGATCCGATGATCTGTTGCCAATGCGTTAATGGTTGTTTTGTCCAATGTCTGAGTTGACCATGGCTATGGCATGAGGATTCTGCCATGACTTTTCTTTCTTTGACTTGTATCTTCCTTCAGTCACCTGTTAAACATTGGAGGCATGGATCTTACCTTTGCCCCCAACAAAACCAGGGGGCCAGGTTTTCCGATAGCGGTGAGCAAAGGAGAGAGAGGGAGGGTGGGAGGGAGAGAATAGTTAACATTTTCCTACCCTGGCTTTACAACACATTTCCTCCTTTTGACCTCTAGGGATGGAACACCCTAGCGAATTTGGGGTAGGAAGCCGGGTGCTCCGACCTCATTAAAGTGGCCAAACCCCACTTTTCTCAGTCCAAAGTCCTAGGGACTCCGTGGAAGAGCACAGGCGTATTTATCTTGCAGGATCCAGCGATTGAGAGGTACTTGAAATGCATGCCATACATACCAGTTGCTGTAAATCATTTTAATTACTGTCATCTTGTTTCCAGTGGGAGAGGTAAACGGGTGCTTAGCTCATCACCGAAACTGCTTAATTATGCCTGGCTGTGACTTACAGGCTAATGCAAGACGGGAGGGCCTGGCGTGCTCTGGTCCGTGGGGTCACGAAGAGTCGGACACGACTAAGCAACTAAACAACAACAACAATGACTTACAGGCTAATGAGAAATGCAGGTGTCTGCTCTATTGTTTTCTGAAGCTCGTCAAAGATGGCTAGCTAATTAAAGAGGGCATCCATCAGGGCCAATGTGAGCCTTCTAAAGGCCTTCACGGGAGATCAACAAACATTTTCGGTTGGCATCAACAGACTCCCTTCTTCACGTGTGATACCAAGAAAGGTAGGGATACCAGCTTAGCATATCCCTGTCTGACACGAGAGCTCCAGTCAAAATAAATGGCATTTCACTGACTTCTTTGTCTTAAGCTGGTTGATCTCACTTTTATTCCAGTCTCCATTTACAGGCAGTCTTGCCTTCCAAGAGTGGTTTATTTCGGCCAAAGAAGCGACTTCCGGCCAAACCACTTAACAAGGCATGATTTCCAAATTCACTTTGGAACCCGGTCAGAATTTGGATAGGTGAGGTTGAGTTTTTGGACCTCGGCAGCACCTTAATATTTTGCTGAAGACGTGTGAGCTTTGCTTTTCAGGTGTCCGTGTCGTCGCCCGCTGGAGACATTCGACGTGTAAGGAGGAGAGGCGGGCAGGAAACGAACCACGAACCCAAAACCTTGGCAAACCGGGCTGGTTTGTGGTTCATTTCCCGACTCCGTTTGGGGGTCCCGTTTCATGAAGCGAAACGAAAGGCCAAACCTTCCCCCCCACCTTTGTGTTTTATTCGCTTCTGCAAAGGGCTTATTCGCTCGCCCCCTTCCCTCTCCTTTCATTCCCTCCTCCTATCTTTTCCGGCCACCTCTACTGGTGCCATCTTCAGAGGCAGTGGACCCGCCTTCGCTGCTAGGAGCTAGGTGCTGCCTCTGCACATCTGCCCACCTATCAGCTGGGCAGTGGGCACATGCTCAGCCAGGTCTGGGAAGCCAGGACACTATTTCTGAGCATGTGCCCACTGCCCACCGGACAGATGGGTGCATGCACAGAGGTGCATGCACAGATGGGTGCATGCAATGGAGCTGGCTGCTGCCTCTGAAGACGGGACCAGCAGCCTGTGGCAGACGGAAGGAGTCGGTGGTGTCTCCCTGGCACGAACCAGGGGGAAACCCCACCCAACCCCTTCGAACTGTTTCCTTTTTCCAACCATAAACCGCAAACCATCATAAACCACCGATTTTCCAGTTCATGCCCATCTTTAGTAAGGACGGGGGTCAAAAGACGGCTCAAGGAAATCCCCCCCTTTCCCCGTGCAATCGTGCTAATAAAAATAAATGGCTAAGACCATCGGCGGTGTGAGCGGTCGTCTCTTAGCGGCTCTTCTCTGTGGTTTTCTGCGTTTGATGCCTTCACTTATTAAAAGAAGATGAAAGAGAACCTCTTACAACGTACAAGCCTGAAAACAGGGAGTCGTTGGTCTGCTGGGCATGGCTGGCATTGAGCCATTGTTGCCCACCGATTCCTCTGTCAAAAATTAATGTTATTTTAAAAAAATGAGCCAGAGGATGCCATGGGAAAGAAAACAAACCAACCGACTGACCAATAACACAGTCAGAAGTGCCTGTGGCATAAAATCTTTATTAAAATAATTTATTACAGCAGGGTGTTCATAAATATCTTTTTCATGGTGGCTAAAATGCATGCACACAGGAGAGGAACTTAATCACTTCATTCACATCATATACAAAATAAACAATGCGGTGAGTCTGGATCATTTTGTCGACCTAAAAACAACAGCTCAATGCCTATTTTTCCCCCCTCTCTTCCGGCACCATTTAGAAAAAGTAATAACGAAGGGCTTACGAAAGAGGCTTCCTTCCCCCATGAACCTTGCCTGTGTAAATGTTATGAGGAAATCGCTGGTAAAGAGGCTGGATTTCTTTGTGTGTCCACATGATAAAGACTTTGGACGTTGCCAAAACGCACAGCTTGATCGTGTCAGTCTCTTTTCAGCCTGACTAAACTTCCTCCCGAGGCATCCGAAGTGGTGCTGGATTTTACAGCCGAGGAGACATTTGTAAGCAACACCCTCGTTTCCCCTCATCTAGAACTATGACTCTACCACAATTTCATGGACGTGCCATTCCCATCATATTTAAGGGAATGATTTCTTCTTCCCCATTAGCACAACTCAGTGGGCAAAGCCATGTCCCGTTTCTGCTTTGTCCAGTGAACAGATCTTAGGAATAGGGCAGAAGTTAAAATACTTCATGTGTAGAGGTTGAAATACATGACACGTATGCATGCCGTGCTTGAAAGCAATGTTAAACTATGAGGGGGATTCGTTCTGCAAAGTTAATGCCTGGTTATTACTGCCATTCCCAAATGCCAGAGGAATATACTCTCCAAAACAGTGCTGAAAATCATATAAACGAATACCTCGCATGGCCTCTTGAATTGCGGAGGGCAAAAAGCTGCCTCCGATTCAAGCTCTCTCTTCCACTGGCATGTTTAGCATGCCAACACCATAACGACGTGCCAATTGGCCATCGAAAACGGCCATTATGAACGCTTGCCTGTTCCAGAATCACCGAGGCCAAAATAAATCAGAGCAAAACAAGGAATATTATAAGCGCAGGGCGAGATTACATTATGGCAAAAAAGAGGAGTCATTTCTACTATAGAGATGATGATGTCATATCATCTTTATAGCAGAGGTACCTTTAGTTATGAAAGGGTACGCATTCCATCTTGATTGTCAAAGCCAAAGCAAGGGGGGGGATCCAAATACATTCTCAGATAAGACTATGAAAGATTCTCCTGTGAGGATAAATCTTGTTCTTTGTGGAAATTATGCACCGAGGGTATGTTTCTGGCTCTCGGGCAAAGGGGACAACATGCAACAGACAGCTCTTAGTAGGACGCTGGTGTATGTCTGTGGATGAGATGGGTAACCAGTGTCCTTCCTCGCCCATGAGATGAACGCCATGCCCAGAGATAGACAGCAGGTGCCCTTTGTAAAAACATCTGCATTGTCTTGCATACATGGCAGAGAATCGCTGTGTTCCAGTTATGGTGTTGGTAGGGTAGCCTGTGAATTTGGCTGACGTGATTCTTATGGAATTGCAGCCAACATATCCCGCTTCCTGTATTAAGTTTGCACCTGGACACTAGCGACTCCCACAGGAATCCCGGAGCTCAGCAGACATGAGCAATTGGTACGAGGTTCCCTTTTAAAAAACATCACTTTTGAACTATTGAAGTAAGGTCGTAACGGCCATATTAAGCCACAAAGATGACCAGCCTTGCTTGCTGAAAACCACAGGCTTTAATGGCACTTATAAAGGTGACTGTTCCAGAAGGAATGGTGTTCTCCCATCTGGCTTCTGCTTGGAAATTACTGTAAATTGCATCTAATAAGGAAATGCTATTATGATGACACCATTGTTTCTTTATCTAGAAAAGCCCTTTGGCCTTTTCCATGCTCAGGGGAGGTCACGTTCCAACCATGGTTACACGTTAACATTGCTCAGCTTAGAATGATGAGTCCTTAAGCACTATGTTTTCATTTGCAATCTCCGTGTTTCGGATTCGGTGGCATCCAATATATATCCAAACTAGTTACAGTCCTTGGAATCATGGCATCTTGTGTTTCAGCTAAAAAGGTGGCTGGCTCGTTGTTTTTTTCAACCAGAAGCCAAAAACGACAGTAAAATGGGCACCAATCACTCTGTGTAGTTATTCTCAGAGGTCAACTGAGAAGTCGAGATGAAAGGGAATACACGAGAGATGTTTTCATCAGACAGCCATCACCCCGTACTTTGAACAGAGAAGGGCTCTTTTCCTTTCCCGCTCAGCTAAGAAATTCCTCAGCTTGGTGGTGGAGAAAGTCACGGTGGCCTGCTGGCTCTCGTCGAGGCCGGTCTCCTGCAGCCACGGAGACTGAAGGCATTCAGACGCTGTGGGTCGCCTCCTAGACGAGGACAAGAAAATACAGTTGCACGTGGGATCCCACCAGGAGCAGGAAGACAGACAGACAGACAGACCTGAGAGGGACCCAATGACTGTGCTTTGCCAGCTGAACCTGCAGGAGAGGAGGTGCTCAGGCAGGCAGACAGACAGACAGACAGAGATCTGAGAGGGACCCAATGACTGTGCTCTGCCAGCCGAACCTACAGGGGAGGAGGTGCATCTCATGGGGTTCCACCACCTTCGTAGACCTGTTGGGTGGGAACCCAAGCAAGAGCCTTCTTGTTGGCCAACCCCAACCTTTGTAATTCCTTACCAAGAAAGGCCAGGTTTGCCCGCTCCCTCCTCCTCCTTCTGACAGCAAGCCAAAGCCCATTTATTTAAGCAGGTGTTTGACAATTAGGAGCCTCCGCTTAGGAGATTCCAGCAGATGTCCTGGTTCTCATGGTTTTCAAGGTAGATGACGACTATTATTTGAACTGCTTTTTAAGATTTTCTTCTCAGTTCAATTGCATGTCCATCGTATCATTGAATTTAATTCTATTTCAGTACTTGTCATCTTACCGTGAGATGGGGGAAGTGGGGGGCAAAGGAGGAAAGGGAAATAGGGAGGGGGGAAAGGAGGAAACGGAATGGCACTGACAGAGGGAGAGAGGGGCAATGTAAAAAATAATAATTTCACTTCCCCTGACCCTCCACAGATGATCAGGGGAAGCACTTAACTGAGAGCTTATTGGGCTCATCTGCTGTTCAGACAATAGGAGCACACCACAACATACCCTTTGTAGTCCGATCCACCCCACACCCAGAGCCGCCAGTCTGGACAGGCTGGTGAGTGCTTACTAGAGACAGAATAGGTGGGCGACCGGGAAGATACAATAGTTGTTTCGGTGGCCCACCCCCAAACAGAAGCACTGGCAAAGACTGGATCAAGGCTGTGCAAAGCATCATCTTACCAGGGGTTAGAGGAAAGGGTGCTTTGGAGGAACGAGACAGCTCCTCCCGAAAGGCCTGCGTAGCATCTGTTGAGCTTGATTTTCTCACGCTTGACGAGCCTCCCAAAGTCACAGGCAGCCTCTGAGCTGATGGGGTATTCGGCACTCAGCCTGAGAACAGAATGGGGGAAATGATATATGGCGGCCCTCCGCCTCTCTCTCTCTCTCTATCTATCTCTCAGCAGAACATTCAGCAACACCCCCTGCATCTCTGGTCCAGAGAAACACACCTTTGAAGTTCTGGCACAATTCCTCTCCTTGACCTGAGTCCATGCACAAACGATGGGAATCATCCAGATACATGGAAAACCCCTCTTACCAGTCAGAGAACAAGCCTCCCATGGGGCTGCTTGCTCCGTAATTCTTAACAGCACTGGGAAAAGTGAATTCTGCTTCTTTGGGTCAGCTTTCAAAGCCTCCCAACCCATCCTTCTTCCAACCTCCTCATCAGAGCACTCCATTCTGCCCACCCTCAGCCTTTGGCTGTAGCTACAGCATCGTGAAGGATCGCCGCCACCTCCCCATAGGTGAACGGCCAAAGCCGTGATGGCCCCCAACATCTTCTTAGCTCGCCCCCTCCTGGAGGAACTGGAGTTACTGAAGTACAGGGCCCCCCCAGTCCCATTTGAAGGGCACCCCCCCTTGCAGAAGGACCCCGTGGATGGTGGTACCAAAATCTGACGAGAGATCCATCAGAAACAGGAGGGACCTCCCCCCCACTTCCTCTCCAAACTCTATCTTTGTTTAAAAAAGAATATAAGCAGTGTCAGCTTATCAAACATAATTTTAAATATATAGTTTATACTTACAAATCTAAATATTAATATCCTTAGAAACATAAGTATAACAACAACAATATGCAACTTACAGCTATAAACAAATAGTTTACACCTAGCAAATCTGCATATTACTATTTGAGGTCGGTGTTTTCAGAAACATGGACGGATGCAGAAGTATAGCTGCTGGATCGCTCAGTGGTTTAGGTGCTTCTCGCTGCAGAGCGAGAGGTTGGGAGTTCGATTCCCCCTCTGGGCCTCCTTGACAAGGGCTGGATTCCATGATCCAGGGGATCCCTTCCAGCTGCTCTAAGATGATGATGATTTTCCCCCCAATCCCTTGGAGTTTAGCCAGCAGGCAAGACCTGTTTCTCATGATCGACAAGAAAAGGCGCCTCTAATTTTCCCCTCCCATCTGCTGCCCTAGTTATATATCAGAACACATGGGCCCTGTAATTCGAAACACATCTTTTTATTTTTCATTTCCACTCCTCAGTGATAAGATAAGGACAACTGGAAGAGGGAAGGCTCTTTGCTACATTGGGAAACTCTTTGCCTGTTGAAAGAATGATCCGCCGCCATCATCGTTGTCATTGTCATCGTCGTCGTCATCACTCTTTCCCTGCATTAAAACCACCTCCTCTGCAACTCTGCTCAAATCCGTGCTTTTTTTCCTGTTCCCCACCTCTGCTCCAGATCTTACTAGCGCTGCTGTCCCCGGTTATTCCTCCCTCTGTTCTTGGATGCAACGGCCTTTTCTCCACTTTTTCTCTCCCCCTGCATTGCTCTGTCCTGCTCCCCCCCTCCCCAAAGCCGGCTGCTCAGTTCCAGCCAGGTATATGCAAGGAGAATACCTGAAGTGCAGTGGGGAGAAAGGGTGCAGGTAGAGACAGTATTGATGCTCACCTCAGCTGCCAGAGACTATGAAACTATTATTACATGCTGCACAGTCCCAATCGCTGCTACCAATTCCCTCTAAATGTTTTCTCCTTTCTACATCTTGTGCTGCGTGGGCTGAGAATCTCCCACGGGCCCCCCACACTTTCCCAAGTAGAAGAAACTTTGCAAAACTTACATGATGAACGCCGTCACACCAATGGCCCAGATGTCCGTCTGAGGGACGGCGCCTTTGTCGGACAGAAGTTCTGAAGCTAAGAAGACACCAGGCGTATGGTTAGCAAAGCTTCCCCACTGAACTAGTTTGGGAGCGGCGTGTGAATATCCAGGAAAGTGAAGCCACAACTTCATAAAAGCACAGCAAAGATTTGTCCTGGGGGAGGTGGGCTCGCACTACTGATCAACACCGCTTGCATTTTTTCTCTCTCTCAATGGGTGCTTTGTGGGGGGCAGGGGGTTGGCAGGAAGTCAAAATGGGCATGGTTTGGCCGATCGGGCACACGGTTGTTGCGTGGTCCCTCTGGATTCCGCGCCCCACGCCTTCCCGTGGGCAGCTGCTCAGAAGAGGAGGCCGGGCAGGGAATCCGGAGTGCCCACCCAATGCCGATGGGCCCCGTCCGCCAAACTGTGCTGATCCACGCTTCGAAGCCGCCTCTAGTAGGGAGAAAACTGGTGGAAGAGCAGTGGGAAAACTCAGGGCTCATTAGCCGAGAAGGTTGACACCTAGACCAGCCATTCCCAACCTATTTTTTCTTTCCTTATTTTGACCGTGGTCCTTTTAAGGAACTTTTCTCAGGTTCCAGGGCTCCCTGTCAAGCAAAGAGGCAACGCAAACAGATGAACGGACAATCCTCATATGTTTCAGTCAGTGGCCCTCTTCCAGCATGCCAGAGTCATGGGGCCCCCGTTGAGAGTGGCTGATCTTGACCACCAAGATGACAAGGGACAAGGTGGGGGGGGTCACTGCACAACGAAAGCTTGATCTGGAAGCTCACTTGGTTCTTCTTGTCACTTTCCTCTTGCCACACAGGAGGGGGATCCGGGGGGGAAGGGCAGGCACGAACGGAATCATGGAAACGCAGGGCGACAGATTGGGCTGTAGACCCTGAATCGAATCGAAACGAATTGGAAGGGAGATTGAAAGTTGAGGACCGGAAGGGGCTCCTGGGAATGGAAGGGAAGCCGTGGCCTGGCCACTTAAAGTTCAGCACGGCTAGGCTTCCATGACTGAGCTGGCTGGGTAGCTCAGTGGTTAAGGTATTGGGCTGTGGAGCCTGAGGTTTGGGGGGGGGTTTCAATTCCGCACTGGGTCTCTTGGGAGAAGAGCCAGCCTGGGTAGCCTTAGGCAAAAAGCTACACTGCCCCAAGGTTGCCCTTAGAGAAGAAGGGACGAGGGGAACCACTTCTGAGCACTCTCTTCCTGAAAAAGGGTTGCCATAAGTCAGAATTGACTTGCAGGTCCATGATTATGCTCCCTCCAAGCAAAGGAATGAGGAATTGTTGTTGTTGTTTAGTCGTTAAGTCGTGTCTGACTCTTTGTGACCCCATGGACCAGAGCACGCCAGGCCCTCCTGTCTTCCACTGCCTCCCAGAATTTGGTCAAATTCATGTTGGTAGCTTCGATGACCCTGTCCATCCATCTCATCCTCTGTCATCCCCTTCTCCTCTTGCCTTCACACTTTCCCAATATCAGGGGCTTTTCCAGGAATAGTACAGGCTAAGAGTGCAGCCACCTAGTATGACCAGATAGGTGGGGTATAAATGGAATAAATAAATAAATAAAATAAGGAAAGGTACAGGCTAACTCATACCTCCCTGTTTTTCCAACAGGACGTGGTTACATCAATTATTTAGACTGGGCCATGTTTACTAAATTGGATATAATATTGACATGGTGTTATAGGATGATTGTACTGAAGAGTTTTATAATGAACTCTGTGATCTAGTAAATACTCTGAGGCTCGGGGAGGGGCTAATGTCGGTAGCAAAACACAAAGGCTACACAGCCATGAATAAAGGCTGTAAATAAAGCAGCAGAAGCAATAGGAGGGTGACCTGGTTTAAATACTAGATACAGCCGACAGACGTAGACAGATACTGGGCTACCCGTTGCCATTTTCCAATGGGTTCATGTGTCCCTTTTTTCACTGCTGGCAAAAGTACAGGGGAAAATGCAAGGGGGAAAAAGGCAAAATATGGGAGATTCACAGATTTATTTTAATGTGACCATTTGTGGGTCAAATGCTTGAAACACAGGGAGCGCATGTACATGTCTTTGAACCTCCTTTATCTGAGGAAGTGGCTTTTGATCCATCAACCCTCACATTGAAATAAATCTGATCGTCCTTCAAGGACTACAACATTTTCTTCCTTTTCTTCCCCCGCTTTACAGGACAGACAAATCCATCTCCTGCTTAGGGAATTTATTCGCCGTGTGCAACAGACCGCCTACCTCGCTCGCCCAAGCTGATGCGACGGTTACAAATCACTGATGAATTATGCTCACCCATCGTCTCCACGTAGTCTGTGCATCCCTCCAAGGTAATGGTTTGGTCCGGCAGGTAGAACTGTGCGTTGCCAAAGTCGACAATTTTCAGCAGATTTGGCTCGGTAATGATCATATTTTCAGACCTAAGGTCCAAGTGGAGGATGTTCTGAGCGTGCAGATACTCCACCGCGCTCAGGATCTGCCAGAGATAGTCTCGGACTTCCACCTCTGAATAGGAGGACCTAGGAAAGAAAGAGCAGGAAAAAAACCCCAATAGCTTTTGTAACGTCTCCCGCAAAGTTATGTACCTCAATTGGCAATGTGCCAAACCCAGGAAGATATAGAAATTCTTGGCTGAAACAAACAAGGAGGGGCATTTCCACCTCGCCCCCGAATTGCTGTGCGAAAGGAAAGAGGCTTTTCTTTCAAATTATTTCATGGGAACCTCAATCTGAGTCAAGTTCACTGGAACCTCCATCTGAGTCAAGGTTTCTGTGTACTGAGTTCTTCCTCCCCGCCCCAAAATGAAAACTATTAAGAAAACATTTGCTAAGGTGGTTTTCGTCAGCACTGTTGTTGTTGTTGTTGTTGTTGTTGTTGTTGTTGTTTAAAGCGGTCTACTGGTTTCCTGGCTGATGCACATGTCCATGCTTGGTGGAACATCAGGGACCGGTTTACCTTCCAGCCAAGGCGTTCAGGAGCTCAGGACCAACGTAAAGCTCCATGATCAGGACCAGGTGGCGTGGGCTGACGTAAGCCCCTTGCAGCTGCCCGATGTTGGTGTGTTGGAGCCTCCGAAGGATGTGATACTCCTGGAGAACCGCTTCCTTGTCTTCTGGCCGGTAGGGGACGATTTTGGCTGCCAAGGGATTCCCCGTGAGCTTTTCTCTGCACTGTTTAATGATGCTGAAGCGCCCCCTGTTCCAAGGCAGAGGAGGGGGAAAAAAGGCACATGTCAATGAGAGTAGAGTAATTCCCACCCAGGGAACTCTGGCCGAACTTTTCTGCCTTGCTGACATAGGAACGTGTCTCTCCAGGGAGACGGGGAGAACCCCCTCCCAGAAGGAGGGCAGGAAGTGAACAATCATCATCATCTTAAAAGGGGGCCCAAGCTCTGCTCTCAGCAAAGAATGCATCAGGGACAGCTTGAGGGTCTTTTTCTCCCTTGCATCATGACCGCCTCATCCTCCAAATGGTCCAGAAGCAAATATCACACTATTGATTTAAGGCAGGCTATTGCCATGGCTGATGGAAATATGCTGACAGCACTACTTACTTCTTTATTCATAACCTCCTTTGCTCTGAAGGAGACCCTTAGAGCAGCAAGCAGGACTACAAAACCCATACACAGCATGTAAGAATGAGGCAGGTATTTTGTTAGGAGTGGCAAAGTAAGTCTCCAGACAAAAAAACATTGCCAGATCCGATTATTTCTCAGGAATACCTACACAGTGAGTGGACTTGTAGACCAACTGTGTTATTTGCTATTGCTTTTTCAGAAGGAGGGCAGGAAGTGAACAATCATCATCATCTTAAAAGGGGGGCCAAGCTCTGCTCTCAGCAAAGAACGCATCGGGGACAGCTTGACGGTCTTTCTCTCCCTTGCATCACGACCACCTCATCCTCTGAATTTGGTCCAGAAGTAGATATTACACCATCGATTTAAGGCAGGCTGTTGCCATTGCTGATGGACTTAATGACGGGGAAAGATGCTGACGGCACTACTTACTTCTTTACTCATAGCCTTGTCTGTCTGTCTGTCAGTCTGTCTGTCTATTTTGCAAACTGCACCTGAAACCTTTGGAAAAATGAAGATATTTTCTGATTTTTTCAATTATTTTTCGTCATGTGGAGAAAGGTGGAATATGAACGAAATGAACTAACTCATGCTAAAATAATATTCTCTTTGCTTTAAAAGAATGCTAACTGGTTAGTTCCTAAATATACACCAGACGCAGGCTGTCTGGGGGCTAAAGAGAGGCGAGGGGAGAACCCCGGACAGTCCTGCATGCAAAGACAAAAAACATTGCCAGATCCGATTATTTCTCAGAAGCACCAACACACTGAGTGGACTTGTAGGCCAATGGTGTTATTTTCTATTGTATTTTCAATCTGTCTGTCTGTCTGTCCGTCCTATATTGTTATCTCTCTCTCTCTCTCTAATCATCCATCCATCCGTCCGTCCGTCCGTCCGTCTGTCTGTCTGTCCTATATTATCTCTCTCTCTAATCATCCGTCTGTCCGTCTGTCCGCCCGCCCATCCGCCCGCCCGCCTGCCTGCCTGTTTTGCAAACTGCACCTCAAACCTTTGGAAAAATAAGGATATTTTCTGATATTTCAATAATTTTTCAAAGTCTATTGGGAAGCGTCATGTGGAGAAAGGTGGAATATGAATGAAATGAACTAGACTAGGCTGAACGAACCTGTGCTAAAATAATATTCTCTTTGCTTTACAAGAATTCTAACTGGCCAGTTCCTAAATATATGCCAGATGCAGGCTGGCTGTGGGCTAAAGAGAGGCGAGGGGTACCCGATCTCAGTACCTTTTAATCTCGGTCTGGAAGGCGTATGTCTGGTGCGTTGGCTGATCGGCCGCCGTCATTTTGCCGCCCTCTTCGTCCTCCAACTGGAATGCTGGGGGCGGTAGGGAGCGGTATGAAATGGCGAAGCAAACAAGGAATGTTGAAACAGAAAAAAACAGAGTGTTGCTGGCACAATGCAGAGCCACAATATTTTTCTCTTTAAGGCTGCCTTCCAGATGGGTGACAACGGAGTGTTCAACAAGTGCAAGTAGCTCTGAAGGGGTGAAAGGGTGAAGAGGCAGAGGACAGGACACCAACATTTTTTAAACTTTTGATGATGGTCATACCTGCTTGATCTGGTTCGCCGATTTTCACTTTGGCCGTCGGGTTGCTGTAGGGCCCCACGCCGGCTTTGCTGACACAGGCGATCCGGAAAGAGTACACCATTCCCGGTGGGAGATGCTCCACTGTGTAGCAGCAGTCTGAGATGTCGCTGGCCAAGGTCTTCCATTCTCCATCTTGGCCAATGAGAGCAGAGGGGAAAGATTAATATTTCAACCTCATAAAGGTCGAGGTCAAGAGAACGAATGTCTAGACTGTGCTTTTCAGAAGCCAGAGCTGAGATTTCTGCTGTTTATAGAACAATTCCCTACCATTTTTGTGTGTGGGTGCACTATTTTAGTTGCAGGAGAGAGCAGCAAAACTCATATGATCTTTCACATTTCTTTTTCCTAGGAAAGCAGGTTCACACAATACCCTTTTGGAAAGGACAATGGGTTGGTTTTTTTTTAAAGTCTCTGGATGATTGTAACATGGTTAATTGTATAAATGCTGAAACAACCATACAGTTATGACAGGAAACTGAAACTCTGTACAGAAAAGTGCATTTCACAGACTTAGGGTGCGATCAGATGGGCATTTAGCCTGGTGTTTGTCCACCGCAAGGACAGGTTGGTTTGCTTCTTTTCCTGGCAATCACATGACGTATTTGCTGGAGAAAATCAAACTGTCCCTGAATGTCCTCACCTGCAAGTTTCTGAGCCCCTGTCATAGGCTTCTACTTTTTTGGTGTAGATCGGATCGCTCTGGTTTGGTTCGTTTCCAGCACATGTGATCGCTGGGAATGAATCAAAAGCAAGCCTTCTGGTGGTCAAGACTCCTTCCATTTTGAATATCTGATATTGGGAAGCGGTATAATAAGCAAGCTACTTTTAGCATATCGGCAGATTGAAGACTTTCTCTGCATCGGCGATGATCAATTAAAGTATTTTTTTAAAAAAAAAACACTTTATTTATTTTATTTTATTTATTTATTTAGTTTCATTCATTGCAGGGATGGGTTGGTTTGCTCTCTCCCCTCCCCAGCAATCACATGATAAATCACTAGAGCAAACCAAACCATATCGAGAGTGTCCCTTCCTGCACCTTACTGAACCCCTGTCATGGGCTTTTCCTTTTTTTTCTTTTCTTTTGGTGTGGGAAGGATTGCTCTAGTTTGGTCTATTTCCAGAGCATGTGATAGATGGGAATGGACCAAAAGTGAGCCTTCTGGCTATCAAGGCTCCTTCCATTTTGAATTTCTGATATTGCGAAGTGTATAATAAGCAAGCTACTTTTAGCATATTGGCAAATTGAAGACTTTCTCTGCATCGGTGATGATCAATTAAAGTCTGTTTTTTTAAAAAAAGCAGCAGATTTTGCTATTGACAGTTTCTCAGCAGGCTCTTTAAGTTGAGATGAAGAAAACTTTTTTTAATAACTGATGCAACATTTCAGCGATGGTCTATTACAGTCTTTTAAAAATTCACTTCCTCTACTCCCCCTGCCAAGGAGCAGAGGAAATGCTCAATTTTCTGCTACCCCTGAAATAGCTCATTTATTAAGCCACTTCATGATATTGGAAATTCAGCACAGAAGGAGACGTTGAGGGTCGCTTGATAGGCCGTTGGGATGCTGGAATCACACCAAATGGCACGCTGAACTCCATCGGACCCCGAGCCACCTTGTTTACACATGGCCAGCCTATTCCAAAATGAGGAGCATAAAGGAGCTCTTAGAAGTGTGCAAGTTAAGCACTAGTGTTTATGCCAACACATTTCTTTTTTATTATCCCCTTCGGCACATCGAACAGGTTTTGTAGGCTTTGGAGCTGCACACGGTTCGCTCCTCGCAGGCCACAAGTTCTATTTGACCTGAGCAAGCCAGGAAAAAAAAAGGAACATTTGTATGGTAGACCATGTTGGCTCTGCCACATCCCTTCTGTCCTGGGGGGAATCTGTAGAAGTACTGTACAGTTTTTTTTTTGTTTTTTGGGGGGGATCCTGTTCTGAATTGGGCCATTTCATAAGCTGACCGGTAGAGGGAGCTAAAGCAAAGTCTTTGTAGACATCAAACAAAAGAGGAACAGCGTTTATGGGAAAATCTGAAGCATGGAATTAAAGTAGGAGAATTAAAGTGGGAGTAATATATTCTCTCTCTCTCTCTCTCTCTCTTGCTCGCTCGCTCACCATCTTTTCTGCACAAGACCGTGTAGGTCCCGGGTGTCTTCAGTTCCACGGGCTTCCACGCCAGCTGTACACCATCCTCCAGGATCTCAACAATATCAGGAGCTGGCGGATTGGAAGGTGCCTCTGTCACAGAAGAGAAGATGAAAAATGGACTCGGCGACTGGGAACATAATTCCATTCTCTCCCCTGCGCATTGAAGGGGGCATCATTCATGTCTCTAGCTTGGGTGTGTTGATGTGAAAAACGAAAAAATGAAGCAGCTGTTGTGGAAGAGCATTTAGTTACACTGCTGGGCCAGTGGGACGTTGACGCTCTGCCTTGGAAAATCCTCTTACACTGGTGCTAATTTAATACAACAAAATAAAATATTTAGTTCTAGTTTAATGGCAGAGCTTCATCTGTGGTTTAATGGAGGCTGAGAAATGCACAACTTTGGAGAACTCGTTCTGAGATTCCCTAGGAGGAAAGAACAGACTTTAAGCCTGGAGTACAGACATAAGGAGACTGGAGGAGACCCTTGAGAGTCCCCTGGACTGCAAGGAGAACAAACCTATCCGTTCTGAAGGAAATCAACCCTGAGTGCTCCCTGGAAGGACAGATCCTGAAGCTGAGGCTCCAGTACTTTGGCCATCTCATGAGAAGAGAAGACTCCCTGGAAAAGACCCTGATGTTGGGAAAGTGTGAAGGCAGGAGGAGAAGGGGATGACATAGGACAAGATGGATGGACATTGTCATCGAAGCTACCAACATGAATTTGACCCAATTCTGGGAGATAGTGGAAGACGGGAGGGCCTGGCGTGCTCTGGTCCATGGGGTTATGAAGAGTCAGACACGACTTAACAACTAAACAACAACAACAGATATAAGGGGTTAAGAGAACACCTTATTTCTCACCACGGCTGCTGAGATTGCAAGAGGATGCCATTGTTGGTCTGTTTTCCAGACCAACTTTTTGGTCCTCCAAACATCAGCGCTAGCTTAGTTTAAGTCCAGAGGTGTCAGATGAGGTTGCACTCCCGGGAGAGGGAAGGCTGAGAAAGAAAGGCGGGAGGTTCGCAGGCAAGCTAAGCTGGCATCTGCCTCCCGAGATGGAGTTCATGGATCTTATGTGCCCGTCTCAAAGGATCCATGAGGAAATTGGAGGTGTGTGTTCCCCCCCCTCGCCTGAGGAATTCTGGAAGCTGCAGTCCAAAAACACCACTGTGCCCAACTCAAGAGGAAACCACACCCTCTTTTACCTGCTCTCCTGATCACACAGGAGGTGCAAGCGGTGCCTTGGGAGTTGGTGGCCACACAGGTGTAAGTGCCGAAATCCTCTCTGGTCGCGGCTAAGATCGTTAAGAGCTGGTAGCGCTTGAGCGTCGATGAGATGAGTACCCTGTCCGTGCTGCGGATGGCAGCTCCGTCTGGCAGAAATGAAAAGTTGTCGGTCAGTCAACGGCCAGGACCCTCGCCTCAAAGAATGGTTGAGTTTGCTGGCCAAATTGGGAGAGAGAGTTGGGGGGTCAGCCCTCGAATCCAGAGGAAGCAGGAGGACTAGAATGCCACTCCTCTGGCTAGATGAGGGATCTAGGAGAGGAGAAGCAGGAATCCTGTCCTCTCTCTCTCTCTCTCTCTTTAATGTTGGGGAACTAGGTGGGGGTGATGGAACATGTAGGCCACCACACCAGGAATGCCTTTGTGGGCAACCTTCAGAGTTGGTGAATGTTGGGTATCGCTGTCCCTTCGGATCCAGACTCTCTGTTCCCTGGCTGCCCTCCCACTTCCTCATCTTCGGGAGGACTCATGCACAGGGGGTAGGAAGGGAAGAAACAGATACGCGGGCAGTAACGGAAATGTCTCGTCCCTCATTCTGCCCAATGCCACTCCATCAGGGAGGGGCACTCAAGTTGGGGGACCTGCTGTCCAGTCGCATCAGTGACTTGACTCCACTCCGGTGTGGTTTTTTTCAGTGATTCACCCACCCCTCCTTTTTGGGGTGGGGAGAAAAGCTTGTTTTGAATAGGGACTTGGGACTCGGGACTCAGGATCAAAGACTTGGGACTTGGGAGTCAGTATCCAAGTCCTGCCAGCATCCTTGCACAGAATAAGGCAGGTGGTCTGAGATGGAATTTAGGTCACCTTTGAACCACTCGATATGAGGTGAGGCGTGGGCAGAGGTCCGGCAGGAGAGGGTCAGAGACTGCCCAAGGGCGATGGTCTGGTCCGTAAGGTCATCTACAAAAGACGGTGCTGAAAAACAAGATGGTCGGGAAGGAATGCTTTTCAGAACGTAGAACCAAATAAGCCAGGAGGTTTCAATGCTTGTTTCTATCTGCTACCCCCAAACCTGTCTTTTCTTTTCTATCTTTCTAAGCGAACTAAATCCATACGCGGCTTCTTTAAAAGGCATGGGATTTCTACCATTTTCAGGCTTTGCTTTCTAATGTTTGATGTCGTTTTTTTAAAAAATGTACCTTTCTCCTTTATTTTGAGGCTCGGAAGAGTAAATGAAGGGAACCCAGCTTTCTTCTTTAAGCTTCCTGTCGAGGAGGTTCTCTCCGGGAGCTCAGCCTTCCGCTCTTCAGAGTCTGTGGGAAAAGGAAAGAAGAGAGTGTAGACGAATCCTCCTTGGAACGGGTGTAGAATAGATGATCCAAGACAACGACAGGTGGTTTAACTTGATGTCTGTGTATCATGGGGGTCTGTGGACAAGACTCTTCTGTCTGCTCCAGAACAATGTTCTCAGACTGTGGGAAGCAGCCACCAAGCATGGTGGGTTGTTTTCTCCTATTGCCCGGGCAAGGGAGGGATTAATTTCCTAAATAAACTTCTGTAAATCGCACAGGCTCAGATCTTCCCCAGGTCTTCCCCTATCTTTGCGCCCAGAAGAATAAAGAGAACCACCGGATAGATTCCGTTTCCTTGATCTCCTGAAGACTTGCGAGTCCTTTCGGTTACAACGCAGGGAAAATAAACAACGTCATGGCTCAAAAGCTCTTTGTGCTTTCCCTGACACGCTTAAGGCAGTGGACCCACCAACCTTGGGCCTCCAGATGTTCTTGGACTACAACTCCCAGGAGTCTTCACCGTCACCTCTGCTGGCCAGGATTTCTGGGAGTTGAAGTTCGAGAACATCTGGAGGCCCAACGTTGGGGAACCACTGGCTTAAGGCACTCACAATTGATCTTGGCTTGCGTTCCAGAGTCTTTTGCCAACGAGCAAACGTGCCACCACCCACGTTGGGGAACCACTGGCTTAAGGCACTCACGATTGATCTTGGCTTGCGTTCCAGAGCCTTTTGCCCCAGCCAACGAGCAAACATGCCACACACACCTCTCAGCCCAAGCATATCACGGAATTAAGGCAATACCTTCCCTGCTTTCCTCATCGGAGGAGGTCTTCCTGGTCAACATCCTCGAAAAGTGGGCGACCGACTCCTTCATCTTCTTCTTGAGACTTTGTTCCGCCAGCTCCATGGACTGGGACCTGACAAACGGTTTGAAGAGGCCGAGCCGGCTTTGGAGAGAGCTTCTCCGCTTCCCAGTGGAATCTTCCGGAACACCGTAAAATTGCCGCGACCCGGCTGGTAGATCACCTTCTGAATCGGACCTTTTCCCTATGGGCCAAGGTGTTTTGTCCTGGGTTGACTCTACCTCCAATCGAGGGGCCACAGGAGGCAGAGCTCCGGCTGTCTCGACCTCTTCGGATGCTTCCTTCAGAATCGCCTCCCCAGGCGAGAGATCCTCCCTGACACATATTTTCTTCTCCTGATGCCAGTGAGCTTTCGCTCCGGGCGCCAACTTTGCCCTTTCACTCTTAGGGAAGCGTCTTTTGTGGGGCAGCTTCTCGGGGGCTTTTCGGAAGCTGAGGAATTCAAACGGGGAGTACACGATGTCGTAGAGTTCGTACAGGTTAAGGAAGGCCGGCTCTACCTCCGAGATGTCAAATTTGGCCGTCTTGCTATCAGGACGGGGCATGTCCTCCGAGAGGTCCTGGATCTGCACTAAAGCGATTTCGTACATCCGGTTGTACATCCGGTCGCTTCCTTGGCTGCCGGAATAGTAGAACCTGTCCCAAAAATCGGAGCTCGCTAACTGGCATGCCATGGATGTCTCTTCACCTAGGTAATCTGCAAATCTCCCTCCATAAGGACGAGACATCCTGGCTTTCTTACTCATAAAAATATCTTCTTCTCCGGGGTAAATAATATCTGCTTCTGAGGGATCAGCTAAGCCAATACCTCCTTCCCTTTTCCCTCTGCGCACTAGGTATCTAGTCGTTGGTCTCCCCGTTGGCCCAGGTGAGCCTTGGTAGAACATCTCCCGTGGTGGAGACACACGTCCCGCAGACCCTTCTTGATCGGAAACCGCCTGCGCCAGATCCGTCATCTCTCTTGACAAGCAAACCATCTCCTCAACTAAATTCTCCAGAGCTTCAGCCTCTGGGTCACTGTATAAAGAAGGTCTCAAATGCGCCAGTTCCTTTCTTCTTGATTCATCAATGGGAGCAATCGTTTCCTTTAGAGTAACTGCCGTTTCTTCTCTCGGGGTTGAAAACGGATCATATTTTTCTTGGGCAGAGCCTGGTGCCAATGTTCTCGGGCCCTTCCCGGTCACTACTCTGCCCTCACTGGGAGCAGGGGGCCTAGAATGAAGACTTTCAGCTCCTGAAGGAGACGTTGGGGTGGTTTTGACGGGTGAAGGCATTAAAACCTGCAGAGGTTTGCCCTTTGGAACCGCAGATGGCAATTCACTCTGCATCAAAGCTTTCTCACGTCCAAATTGCGGTTGGATAACTGATTTGGGCTTCTTCAGGTCACTGGAAACCACGCCAGTGGAACCCAAAGGCATCCGGCTTCCTTCCCAAGGCACACTCAAAGGGTCGATCTCTGTAGAAACAGGACCTTCCCCCTTTTTATCTGGCATGCCAGGGGCTGGGTGTAAGGGTCGTTGGCTTTTGCCCTCTGACACTGAAATCGGGACAGATTTGACCTGGGAAAGGACTGACCCTTTCCCTTCTAACTCCATTGATTTTTGTAAGCTGGATGTTGAAGGTTTCTGAGGGGAAGTCTGGTGCTTTTTATCTCCAGGGACTGACACAGGCAGCGTGTCTCCTTGTGAGAAAGGGATGGTTGAGTCTTTGCTCCTGAAGGCAACACAGGCCGTTTCCGTGTCAACTGAGGGCTCCTGGTGTAATTGTACCTGGCTTTCCTCTGTCGGCACAATCTGTAGGGCCGCTGGGGTCTTCTTGACCTTCGCCCTGACAACTTGCTGGATCTCGCCCGGAGCAGAAGGAATCCCAGGCCACTGGTCACCACTTTGACACGTTCCCTGAGCAGTGTCTGGCTTGGCGGAAGAAGGGCTTTCACTCCGGACAGCTGACGGCCCTTCTTTGCTCTGGGTGGAAGTTGGTTTCATCTGAGGCAGCTGCCCTTCCTCAATTTCACGTTTTTGGGCTAACAGTTTTGGATGAACCTCTGACTGCGGGCTTGTTAGAATCAGGCTTTTGCCTCCCACAACCGGCATCTCCATCTCGGCAGAGAATGGTGGCTCACGGCGTAATCCTTCCCCCTTTTCGGCTTTTGGTGCTGAAATCAAGGTCTTCGGTTGCTGTGGTGTAGCCAAAACTGAACATTGCTTCTCTCCAGAGGGTGGAAACGACACTGGTTGCTCCTCGGAACCAGCTATTGGGGCTTTCTCTGTGTCATCCTTTGCAGAAGTCTTTCTGGAAAGTTCTTCTCTGGCAGCCTCTGGAAGAGGACTCTGACCCTCTACTTCCACCGGACTGCCCTGAGGCATCAGGTCCCCCTCCTCTTCCTCTATGTACTGTTCCTTGGCAAAGCTTGTCGCTCTTATCCTGTAATCATCCAGAGAACGGCTTCTGCTGGAAACCTGGAAAGTCAACCGTGGAGATTTCTGAGCCATATCGAAAGAGGCCGACTTGATCATCAGAGGACCGACGCCCGCTTCCCAGAGCTTTCCAGTTCCTTCATCATCGGAGGCACCTCCTTCTTCTCCAAATTGTTCTAGAAGAGGTTCACGGAGACCGCTTAAAGCTGACTTTGAGTAGCCTGCCTTCCGGTAGCTCCTCTTTGCTCTTTCTAATTGTTTCTTGTGTTCTTTGCCTGGCGACGAGGGGACGTTTGGAAGACCCTCAGAGGGCTGGCCGTAAAAAGTGCTTTTAATGACGCTGTGTCTGGGGACGCAGCCAGGAGACCTTCCTGGCTCAGCGAGTTCTGGTGGGAACAAGCCAGCTTTCTCTTGCAATGAATCTGAGCCAACCACTTCTGCTCCACCTTTCTGTGGTTCCATTCGTTCTTCGCTTCCCTGAAGGGCCTGGTCACCCACGATAGCTCCCTGTTTCTGTCTTGTGGGTCCCACTGGTGGGCGTGAGGCTGCAGGACGTCCGGCCTCATCTAGGAATTGCTGATATTCTGGGTAATTTGAGTCCTCCAGGACAGACAAGTGCAGTGCCGGTGTAGGGCCAAACTGTCTTCTCCCTGGGGAGATAGAAATCTCGTTGTCCGAAGATGACCCGCTGGTGCTGGAGGAGCTGCTCTCTTCTACCAGATGGCGGGAGATGCCGAGCGATGTATTTTGATGCGTTTTCTCCAAGATGTCTGGGATGGGCCTCATGACCAGCACCGACTTGTAGCTCATGAGAGACCGCTAAATGTTGAAAGAAAGCACAAGACAAAGAGAGTGTGAAAGCAAGAGAGGCGGGAAAAGACCACTTTCAAATGATTAAGCACCATAATCTGAAAAGAAATGTCTTGATCTAGTTAGTTTAGAGCAGTGGTCCCCAACCTGGGTCTCCAGATGTTCTTGGACTTCAACTCCCAGAAATCCTGACCAGCAGAGATGCTGCTGAAGGCTTTTGGGAGTTGTAGTCCAGGAACATCTGGAGGCCCAAGGTTGGGGACCACTGGTTTAGAGG